GCCACACACCCTGTCCCAGAACTACCCCACAGCAGGGCCCGATGGGAAGCAGGCCGTCAGCCTCGGCATTGGTTTCACGAAGCTGTGACCCTGTACTCATTCCCTTCCTCTCCGATGCTTTAGGTTATGAACTCTCCAAAGTGGAAGGGAAAACGGGGACCCCTGAGAAGCCCCTCTCGGACCTTGGTCTCCTATCCTACCGAAGCTACTGGTCCCAGACCATCCTGGAGATTCTGATGGGACTGAAGTCTGAGAGCGGGGAGAGGCCACAGATTACCATCAAGTGAGCCTGGCCCCGCCTACCTGGGGGTGCATGGCGTGGCCTGTGTGTTCCAGGCGCTCTCACCCTGAGCTCCTGGGGCAAAGATGAGGGCCCCCAGGGAACCTGATCTTTGTCCTCCCACAGTGAGATCAGTGAGATCACCAGCATCAAGAAGGAGGATGTCATCTCCACTCTCCAGTACCTCAACCTCATCAACTACTACAAGGTAGGGAGGCGGGCAGGGACAGGTGTGTGGAGGTGCAGAGTGCAAGCCCCATGGGCTGACCTGCCTTGTCCCATCTCCTGCCCAGGGCCAGTATATCCTCACATTGTCAGAGGACATCGTGGATGGGCACGAACGGGCTATGCTCAAGCGACTCCTCCGCATTGACTCAAAGTGTCTGCACTTCACTCCCAAGGACTGGAGCAAGAGGGGGAAGTGGTGACCAGGCACAGCCCATGGTAGCACCAACAAAGCTGGCAGAACTGGAGCTGACAGCCCATCCCAACCCCGCCCCAGGGCCCCCCAGAGGGACACTAAGGGAGACGGACCGGGCTGAGGACAGTTCCACAAGGAGAGGGCAGGCCTGGTAAGGGCTGGTTGGTGCCCAGCACCAAAGTGAGCTCAGGGCTCAGGTCAACTCTAAGGCCAGCTGGCTGCAGGCCCAGGCTTGCTGTGAACCAAGGACCAGAGGGAGCCAGGCAGACGTGTACAGTGAGATGGGGGTGGGGGCACTATGTACAGAGGGTTGGTGGTTGTAAAAAAAATTTGTAAAGTAGGAGTTGGGGGTGGGTATTGGCTACAAAATTCTGGCCTCTCGCCCCAGTGCCTGTCCTGCCCCTGTTCC